ATAAAATAATTAATTAATTATTAATAATAAATAATGAATGTTAATAATTATTATAAATTTAAAAAATTATTTTAAAAATATTGTAATACAAAACAAAATAAATTTGTGTACTTCTCTCTCTCTCTCTCTCTCTCTCTCTTTCTTTTGTGCTGCATAAATAATAAATTATTTTAAAATAAATAAAATAAATTTATTTATTTATTTATTTATTTATTAATAATGTACAAAAATTATGCAAAAATTGTAACACTGCTTTACATGAAAAGACTAATGTAACAATGACCAAACGTATACTCATTTTTCAATTATTATTATTATTTAACTCATTTAAGCACGGTAGCATTGTGGAATGCCACCCTTTCCATAATCATTTTCTCAATAATTGGGGTTTTTCATTCAATTTTTGAACCTTTTTTATGGTTTGGTATCAGTTATACATTCAAGAATAAGAATCGATGTGCAATAATTCGAAATCATGGGTGATTTTGTTTATACAAATAAACAAACGTTGAAAGAAAAATAGCAATTTTTCTAAAGAAAATTCATTATCTCCGAAAGTTCTCAGAGTTTCCACGCAAAGATCTTTCCTCAAGGGTTTTTGGGGTCGCTGATTACGAATCCGTGGCCAGATTTCTAAAATTCAAAATGGCGGATCCAATAAAGCGGACCCAAATGCGAAAAACAATGCAAATTTTATGAAAATGTATATCTGGGGGTTTTCGGAGTCGCTGGTTACGAATCCGTAGCCGGATTTTTAAAATCCAAAATGGCAAATCCAATATGGCGAACCCGAATTCAAAAAATGACGAAAATTTTATGAAAACGTATATCTGGGGGTTCAGCGATTTTACACTCGATTAGCACTTGGATTTGGATCATAGTCGCTATATAGTGGATTATAGTTATTTGGATTATAGTCGCTATATTGGATCCGCCATTTTGAATTACAGAAATTTGATTACGGATTCGTAATCAGCAACCACGAGAAACCCCAGATATACATTTTCATAAAATTTGCATTGTTTTGAATTTAGGTCCGCCATTTTGAATTTCGGGAATCTGATTACAGATTCGGATTCAGCGAACCCGAAAACTCTCAGATATACATTTTTTTTTAAATTTGCATCGTTTTTCAAATTCGGATCCGCCATATTGGATCCGCCATCTTGAATTTCGGGAATCTGTTTACGGATTCGTAATCAGTGATTCTGAGAACCCCCAGATATATATTTTCATAAAATTTGCATCGTTTTTCGAATTCGGGTCCGCCATATTGAATCCGCCATTTTGAATTTCTAAATTTTGACCTCAGATTCGTAATCAGCAACCTGGAAAATTCCCGAGTACCAATTTTCAAGTCAATTGTAGGTAAGGAAAAATGTACGCTTGAAAGGGTTGAGTTAATAATAAAAAAATTACAAAGATTACAAATCATAATATTAAATCCATATCTACATCAAAAATACGTATTCTTGGAAATATTTATGAAGTTAACATTGCAATTTTTCATCATGAAAACATAAACAATGGCCATAACACAAATATATTGCAAATTAAAGATACAAAATAAATATCCGTAAATAATTTAAAAGTTGAGACATGTCAATTACCTCGAAATGCTAATGCATACATATTTTTATTTGAACAAATAAATGAAAAAAAAATTAAATCAATAAATTATTAAAATTCAGAGAAACTATATTAAATTAAAGTAACAATTTTATAAATAATAATGTGTTTATTTTTAAAAAAATTAAATTCTATTATAATTTAACAAAAAGCAGTGAGATCTTATAAAAAATCTTTTTGAAAAAAGAAAAAATATACGTCAAATACATAAAAAATGTCACTTATATTCTTTCTAAAACTAACAAGGAAAGGGACCCAAGTGTCCTCCTCCGATTTCGATGAGCTTCTGATATGTTATTTTCTAAACAAAACAAAAAATTAAGTTACCGTTTCGGGCCGCTTTGCGCTTTTAAGGGGTGAAACATTCCTTAGAAAAAAATCGGTATTTTTATTTCAATGCGAATATCGTTGAAACTAGGAGAGATAGAAAAAAATATTCTGAATAAAAGTTGAATGGCCTTAAGAGTACTTTATAATTATAATTAAAAATAATTTTTTTATTGCTCAATTTTTTGTTTACTTCCACCACCAAAAATTTTTTTTGAATTTTTTGAATTATTTTTTA